GAAGTAGTAAGGTAAGAGTAAGTAAGTAAGTAAGTAAGTAAGTAAGTAAGTAAGTAAGTAAGTAAGTAAGTAAGTAAGTAAGTAAGTAAGTAATATAATATATATATATATATATAGTAGTAGTAGTAGAGAGAGAGAGAGAGAGAGAGAGAGAGAGAGAGAGAGTCGGTATCTAGGGTTGAGCCAATGACTTGAGCACAGTGGCTAGATTTGTTCCCAATGGTCCTTGCAAGCTCCTTGGCAGAAGGGTTAAAGGCTTAGAGAGGGAAGGCTAATGGTGTATGGAGTATGGGATGTATGGGTCTTAGGTGTATGGGTTTGGTGGTATGTGGTGTATAGGTTTTGGTGGTCTAAGGTGTATGATTGGAGGGGGAATTATGGCGTATGGTTAGGATGGGTTATGGAATAGGGTAAGGTTGAGTTGGAACTATGATCTAGAATTTATGGGTTTTGATGGTCTACAGGTAACTCTCTCAATAATAAAATATTCTCTCTTTGATTTAAGCTCAAGTGCAGTATGGCTCAATATGTTATTAATTCAAACTCAAATAAAGAAAACTTACAAATGAGAAGCCCTTCGGCTTATATATAGTTGTCCAAAACATTAGTGGATACTCAAAAGTCAACCTATTTGAATAAAATACACTTCAATAAAATAAAAGTAAAATCCCGTTTTTGGGCAACCTTTTCCCCTACTTAGAAATGTGGAATGACAAAACCATCCCGCCAAAATGGGCTTTTGTCTTTCTCATGGTTCGGGGCCATTTTTGAGCTGTTCGAGCAACTTTTCGAGCAATCTAATGCCATGGAAGCGTAAATCATCTCGAAGCGATCATTCTGATATAAGATTTGAGGCTTGAATCGAAATTTTGTTTATGGTTCCAAAAATCCGGCCAAAGCCACAAATTTGAGATTTTTAAATCTTCGATCTAGCACACCTTGTCATGTTTTTTATTTTCTTTTCTATCACAAATCGAAGGGAAAGTTATTGTGATCATTTTGTAATGAAAACCCTTTGATTTGGAGCTCGTTTGTGTACTTTTTCATTTATGGAGGTCGTCGAATATCGGAATTCTGACAACCAAAAAATTGTGCCTTATTGCGAGCTTTAATTGGATGTCTTCCTAGCCTCTATTTCAATCAAATGATATGTGAAAATGAAGACCTCTGATTCACGATCACAACGGATCTAGATTTGAGCTTATAAGAGTTTGAAATCTTAAGATTTGGTAGTTCGGAGTGGCAACATACGCTGCACATAAGATTATGCATTTTTATGCTTCTAGTTAACTGTCTCTCTAGGATTTTTCTTTATCCGAGGATCCTCACCGAGCATGCTACCCACCAAAACATAGGTCTCGGAGAGGGGAATAACATGCTAAATTTGGGATCGATCTGCTTTAAGGCGGGAGAGAAACTTAAAAAATAGCCATTTTTTTGGAAAACACAGTTACTAACTGGTTCAATGGGGTTCAAATGAAAAGTAAAATACTGCCTCCTCAATTATTCAGATTGGGAAAATTAGTGCGTCAAAAATACGCACTAACAGACCCATGTTCAATCAAGATCGAGTGAATTTAGACCCGACCTGTTGGGTCTATTTTTATGGAAAATTGGGTTCTATTTGTTAAATAATGCTATTTTTGAAAAGCGTGATATATTTATTTATTTTGAGAGTGGGTTGTTACATTGAGGAGGTTACATTACCAAATTTGGGTCCAAAAACCATTACTCAAGAAAGTTTTAGCCAAGGGAGTAAATGTATGATATGCTCGTGCTGAAACATAAAATCTTTGGATTGTATATTATGAACTCATCTATCTTTGTTGAAGGTCGCAATTATTAGTAGCCATGAGATGTCAAATTGAATAGCTTGGGTATATCACACAGTACAAGATTTTTTTTTTTTAAGCATTGAGTTTAGTCAATGTCACACTTATAACTGTCTGATTTGAAATATGATGGACAATAGTGATTGTGACCTCCTTGTATTTTTCTATAATCTTTTGGCTTTGTTGTTATTGGAACTCTCAACTTGTATAGTCA